GTATTTATTAGTAATAAATACTGCTTGACTCGAGTGAGAAAAAATAGTCTCACTATTGGATCAGGCTGATCTTGGTGTGTACCAAACTTCTTAAGTATGACGTTCTCTTTATGCACCTATTGGGTGTGTGTTCCTGTGTACATGGAGCAAAGTTTCTCCTGTATCTCTAGGAATCTCCTTATACCCAGGTAGTTGAGTAGCAGTTGTGTTTTGGTGACCTATGCACCACCAAAGAAGCCTGTAGAGCTGCAAAAAGATGGGTTCCTACATGTTTCTCTTCAAGCCTGGCAGCAGACTGACTTGCTCGCTAGACACTTCAAAAACATACATGTTGAGTCAAGTCCATGAGCATGAGTCCATTTTTCTTTTAACAGCTTTCCTTGGTTTAATGCATCTGGTGCCATGATGTGACAGTGCCCCCAGTTGTTTGGCACTTTGCTTTCCAGTGGCGCTTGTGGTTGAGTAAAACTAAGAATTAAATTTTCTCCTTAAAAAGTAATTAATTTTTAAAGTAAAATAATTATAGAAAATAAAAATTAATTAATTTTTCTCTCACTGAAGTGAAGGAAAAGATTTTTGGAGTCAAGAAGCCTACAGCCGCAAGCTCAAGAAAACTTCAGAACTTATGTTAATGTTTTCTTGTTTAAGCCACTTGAGACCTTGCTGGAGTTATTAGTAGCAGCAAAATAACGTAGCTGATGATACACACCCGGATGAGGTCAGATGTAGAACTATTCTTTTGCCGTCTTTATAAATAGAATCAGAGAACCCCAGACTGGTTTGTGCTGGAAGGGTCCTTAATGTTCATCTCGTTCCAACACCCTTCCATGGGCAGGGACACCTTCTACTAGACCAGGTTACTCCAAGTACCAGTGGCCCTGGCCTTGAACACTACCAGGGGTGGGGCATATAATAATATATAATAACAACAATTCAAATAATAATAATAATAGTAATAATTCAAATAATAATAATAATAATTATTATTAGAAACATTAGCCCAGAAACATAGAGATCTAGCAAGCCCATTTTAGGATCATAGAATAGTTAGGGTTGGAAAGGACCTTAAGATCATCCAGTTCCAATCCCCCTGCCAACACCTCACACTAAACCATGCCACCCAAGGCTTCATCCAATTTGTTCCATTTTGTAGGGGTTTTAATTCTTGTGCTAGCTCAAAGGCCACAGAATATATAAAAGCACATCCTATGAATCATACCATTCTATGATTCTGTGATACAGTGTTAACTGCTTGGTTAGTGCCAAGAGTCTGGGAGCATGGCTTGTCTGTATCTTTCTTGGTGGTTTATCACTGAACCAATCTTATGGCTCTGTTTGAATTTCAGAGGTTCCCTTGACTGTCAGTGAGTTATACTGATGGTATGTCTGTTTATTTTGAACTAATACATAATACACATGTTTTCTCACTGTCCTTCTCCAGTGATACAACTTTTTGTCATAGTTGCATTTCATCCAACCATCATCCATTCAATTCTCAAAGATGATGATGTTCTCTGGAAGACTATTTTGATCCTCTTGTGTTACAAACATCTATGACTTTGCCATCAGTACATTCCCTTAGAAGTCAACCCATGGTATTAATGTAAAGGTTTGAACTTTAAGGTGGCTCTAGAAGTACCTTACCATTACATTCGCATCTCTGTGATCTCTGCTTGCCCAGCCTTGGTCCCTTTCTCTTTTAGGGCAGTTCACTGCTGCATGTGCTTTCTGCAATACTGCCTGTTTTCCTGGGTGCCATTCAATTGGAAGATCTGGGAAAACGTTGATAGATGTGACCTGATCATATTCGTTTCATTTACAAAACAGCCTGTGTTGTGCGGTGCTGCTTTGGGGTGGTCTTTTTAAGGTTGGATCTGCCCAATTTCCATCGGAATATCCACACTGTACTTTAAACTTTTTTTTTTTTTTGTTGTTTAGCTCTACATCCTTATTCCTCCATAGTTTATTCTACTAAAGGTCTTGCACACTGTGGGAAGATAAGTGGCTCCAGAGTTCATACTGTGCTTGTTGTTCAGCACTTAAGATTATTACCAGCTCAGTGCTGCCGTTAACTGAAATACTCACTTCAGGGTTTGGGTTTTTTGTCTAATATCGCCTAATTTTAGCTTATCCTGTCCTCGCTGCAGTCATCCTGTATCTTATCTCATTCTTTGCTTTCCTCTCTCCCAAGAAAATGGTTTTTAGCTCAGGCAATCCTTTATAAGGCTTTACAGCCTGATTTAGTTCAGCCTAGTATGTGGCTTCACACTATTTGATATCTAGGGCATAATTGTCTCTTCTGATCAGTCTTTTTTCCAGACTCTTGTAGATTGCTTATTTCTAACTTTTTTTCTGCTTTATCTAGTTAGAGGTAAGGATCTTCTGCCTTTCTTCACCTTGCTTATGGTGCTGTCTCCGTAAGTATTATGATGCTTTTTCTTAGTTTGACACCTTTCCTTGGGAGAAGTACTAAGCTTCTCTGCTTTCCACTCCCTCAGCAGCTTGCATCTCAGGAAATCACTTAGTTTATCAATTTTTTGTCATTCTGAACACAAATTCCAGACTTGCTGTTGTTACTTCCCATTTAGTTTTTATGGAAACAGCTGGTGATTTCAGGTTCATTTTTTACAGCTTGTTCTTTGCTGCCATTTGCTTTGCTTCTTACCAGCAACATCTCTGTGTTTCAAGACTCTGGTCTTATTGTCCAAGCATTTGACTTGATATGAAAGAATATTCCAGCAGTTTCTGACTATGCCTACTGTGAGGGCTGGATCCTTTCTACTACCCAGAAGAGTATTTAGTGGTATTTTCTTTCTTTTTGCTGTTCTGTTCTCTGCTTGCCCTTTATTTCCAACTGTATGCTTGTTCATGATCATCCTTATGCTCAACAAAAGATAGCAGCATGTCATAATCGTATTGGTGATGCTAATGCCGAAAGAAAGGAGCACACTTTGGTTGTTGGAAGGCTTTTTTGGACTGGGGGAGATCTGGTTTTGAGTGAGATATGTGGACCTCTGAACCTCAGCTCTGGGTAGGGGTGCTGAATACTTCTGAGGGGAGAGTATCAGTTGCAAACTGAGGTTGTCTCCATTGGCTAGCAAGGTAATGCTTGCACTTCACCGGACAAATGATGCAATGTGAAGCTCTTCAATGGTGATTTCAAAATGCCAAACTTGGTGCTCCAATGCTAAAACCACAAGCCTCATCAATGACCACAGTCCTTTCTGGTCATTGAAAGTGAGCTCGTCAGGGGGCAGCTAGACCTGTGCTTGGTGTTGGCAAGCAAGCACCCTCCCTGAACTTCCAGCTGAGTGCTCTGTCTCCCTCCTACACTCAGGATGCCATGGCTCAGCCCCAGAACCTCACTCGACCTTGCAACTGTGCAGGAGAGGGCACAGTGCTTCCAATGGGTTCCTTCACCAAGGCGAGATCTGTCTCAGGCAAGAGAGTCTGTCAGGATGGGCCCTGAACTGAGCCCTAAAAGAATCCCAGAATGGTTTGGGTTGAAGGGACCTTAAAGTTCATCCTGTTCCAATCTGCGCCACGGGCAGGGACACCTTCCACTAGAGCAGCTTGCTCCAAGCCCCTGTGTCCAACCTGGCCTTGAACACTGCCAGGGATGGGGCAGCCACAGCTCCTCTGGGCACCCTGTGCCAGCGCCTCAGCACCCTCACAGGGAAGAGCTTCTGCCTAAGAGCTCATCTCAGTCTCCCCTCTGGCAGGTTAAAGCCATTCCCCTTGGCCTGTCCCTACAGGCCCTTGTCCCAAGCCCCTCTCCAGCTTTCCTGCAGCCCCTTCAGGCACTGGAGCTGCTCTCAGGTCTCCCCTTCAGGAGCCTTCTCTTCTCCAGGCTGACCCAGCCCAGCTCTCTCAGCCTGGCTCCAGAGCAGAGCTGCTCCAGCCTCACAGCATCTCCATGGCCTCCTCTGGACTTGCTCAAACAAGTATGAAGGAAATAATCTTCAACCTTCCCGTGTGACTTTTAAGTGTCCGGAGCTCTCACGTTAAATACACACCAGTAGTTTTAAGTACAATTCGGTGTTAACGGCCTAGTTCCTGCCCTGGTTTGGGACAGGGCCAGGATTAGGATAACTCACTGGGACGAGAGAGCTCTTCGTGCTGGTGAGAGCCCGTGCGCTGGGCCAGGTTCCAGCGCTCGGGAGGCTCCGTGCGAGAGCGGGGCCACCGCCGGTACAACACCCCCCCCTGCGGGCTGCTCCTGGCCAGGGCTGAGAGGGAAAGGGAGCTGGGACGCGGGCGGCAGCAGCTCTGGGTGTAACGGGAAAGCGGTGTGCTGGGAAACGTGAATTACTCGTGCCCGGCACCTCTGGCATTTCTGTTGCGAGCTGGGGTGCTAACATCCCCCAGTGGTGCTGGTGGTTACACGGATGCTTTAGCCGGGTATTCATCCACTTCCTTCCAGTATGCAAATCCGAGCTCAGGTGGCTTATCGGTATTGATTCATCTACTTTGTGCTTCTTTTTCTCTTACGAGGGGCACGCTGTTTGGGTGAAGAACTTGCCCGTGCAATAAGCAATTATTAGGGGTTTGTTCAAGCTTGTGCCTTCACCTGTGTATAAAGCCTCGGTGCGCAGCGGTGCGCGATGAGGTATTTAGCAGTTAACTCGAAAGTAAAGTGAATAATCATGACAATGAGTATTTTCAGCTGCAACCGCCTCCCGCTGTTCCCAACCGCCGCTCGCACAAAGGACCCTCGGAGCCCACCGTTTCCCACCGCCGGGTTCTAGCAGAGGGTGGCTTCTCCTCTTTCCTTCCCGTTCCTATTCCCATCCTCATCCCCGGGCTCAGCCGCACTCCCCTTCCTCCGGTTAACGCAGTTCTCCTCGTTCACTCCCCATTCCCGCTGGAAGCAGGGCAGGAGCAGGGAGCCGGCACTGCCTGCCACGGCGCTGTGCTCCAGCTGCCGCCGGTGGGAGACTCCGGTGTGCGCAGCTGGGCTTGATTAGGAATTAACACACACACACACCCACACCCCAGCCCTGCAGAAGCCTTTTAACCCGCGGGAGGGTTGGGTCGCGCCCCTCACCGTAGTGGGGCGGCGGGGCCGGCTTAGCGCGGGCGCGGCCAGTTCTGGGCTTGGTGAGGGGGGGCTCGCTGCCTCCCGCCTCCCGCCCGCTCCCTGCGCCGCCACTTCGGCGGCTCCTCCGAGCAGCGCCGCGGCTCCGCGCCGCCGATGCGGGCGATGTTGGCGGGCAGGCAGAGGCAGCGCAGCAGCGCGGGGGGCAGCTGAACTCCGGGGAAGGATGACCAGCGCCGCTGCGATCCTCTTCCTCCTGCAGCTCTTGCCCAAGGCGCACGGACAGGTTTTCGCAGGTGAGTGCCGCCGCGCGGACTGACCGGCTCCCCGGGTGCATCCCCCGCGGCGGGGCGTGCGGCCCCGGGGACGGCAGCGATCCCGTCCCCCGGGCTTGCGGGGAGCCCCGGGGCAGGCAGGGCGGTGCGAGAACGGCTCGGGAAGGCGGCGGGGGAAGGACCGGTCGCCCTGGGAGTCGGTCCCCGGAGCCCGGGGGTTTCTGGTGCTGACTCCACAGGGCTGCGGGCAGCGGCGGGTGGGGGGCCCGGTCCGCGGGATATTGATGCGATTGGAGGTGAAAGCAGCGCCTTTGTGCTTGGACTGACCACCGCTGAGCCCTCTCTGTGGTGAAGAGGCTTTCCGAGGCAGTCAGCTCCCGGGGATGGGCAGCTCGGAGGAGCCGCTGCCTCTCTTCCTCCAGCCAGGCGAAGGGGCTCGGGGCTGTTTTCACAAGTTTAGCGGCAGCTTTTTCTCCCCTTGTATCTCGCAGCTCAAGTAACTTTCTCGGTGGGCTCAGCTACTTGGACCGGCCCCTTCCTAGTTGGCACTTTCTCTGTCACTCTGCTGAGGAATACTCTTCTCTTCTGGCATGTGGACAGTAATAGTAGCCGGCTATTTTCACTCTCCTGCGAGTTTCTTTAGGCATAGGTTGAATTACTTGAAGATAACAGGTGCTTATAGAGCTCTTTTTCTCCTTTTGTGCTATTTTGTACCAAAGATATGCGTTGTCTTGTTTTTCACTTGGCTTTTGTAATATGCCATTAATTTTCTCACTGCAGCTTTTTCTTTACGTGAAAAAATTAGTTGTAACTTTCTTCTCTCCTGACTTCATGTATTAAGCTTTTCAAAGTTATTTTTTTCTTTTTTTTTTCATTTTTTATTTAAATCATTTTTTTTTTTGCACCTATATCTATGACAAGTAAAAATTCCCTGTCCAGCATTGCTAGGAATAAATCTCAGTGCTTGTGGCTCGGGCATGTTGGAGGTTGGAAACTAAGTTTAGATGCTCTCAAACAGCAAAAGATTTTTCTTAATTAAGACTGAGACAGCTCAAATGACTTCGTCTTGCTTCTTTAAGACAGAAATAGTGCCGAGGGTCGTAGATGCAGGGCAGCCGGAGCTCGTGTAACCCCCATTGGGTCCAGCCTGGCTCTAAAGCCAGCGGGTGTGCGAAGGGCTCCGGGAGGCTCAGCTCGGTGAAGTAGCTGCTGTCATCAATCCTGCCCGGTGTGACACCCCCTTGGTATCTTGTCTACATTGCTAGGCAACTGCACAGATCCCCAGATTTATTAGAAAGGCTGGGAAATCTAACCTAGTTCGATAGCTGCTTCGTTGAGTAAGCAATATGCGGAGCTATGTTTTTTTCTCTCTTCCAGCTGTATGTTCATGTTCTTGACATTTGCCATACCAGTTGATATTAGATCTTTGCCTTTTGATGACTCATTTACCCAGATGCTTAGAAAGAAGAGTGTCCTGTGAAAATACCAAACTTTAAGGGAGTAAAACCCACTTTCCATTGTTACTGCCCTCAGATGCAGTATGAGCCGTTTGGGCTAAACACATGCACATTGAAGGATTGGCCAGATGTTGTCATTATTTATATATAGCCATGAAATATTCTGTTTGAATCATCTATTCAGTGGGAATAGTGACCGCGAGGTTTCCTAGTTCTTATTGCCTCCTACCCCCTATTTGAGTGCACTGTTTACCATTCAGAGAGGAGCTCATTTGAAAAAATGTTTTCTGAGCTGCTCTTATTGACTATAAAAGAAAGTTTGCTCCTCTTAGACTGTATTGAGTGGCGTGAAGTGTCGTGGTCTGGTCTCTGTCCATAGAGCTGATATTTTTATGGTGAAAAGCAAAGTTTTTCAGATGCGCGTTGTCTGTAACATTTCACTGAAGTTTGGAGACTCGCTACTGCCACCTGTGCCTTTTCGCATCTTCCATGGGGTGGTGCTGTCTCCATAACTATTAGGATGCAAATAGCTCCCGTCCGATTCTTTTTCAAAGCTTAATGCGTTTATTCAGCAACCTTTTGTTAAACATCCCAAAAAATCGCTGTGCGAGAAGTTGGCTGAGTTTTCGGATTTATTTTCTTACATGGTAGTGAGCTAAGAAGTAGGAAAGACACAAGTCAAGACAACGTGGTATTCTATTCTGACCCAGCTTGCACAGCTGATGCTGCTGCTTCTTCATATTATCCACGGCATATAAAATTAGGAATGCTACACAGTGACAGCAGAACGCCGAGGGCTTTGTTCAGGAATACCTGGTTTCACACTGAGGGAGCTGGTTAAAGGTTATTTCCTTGTGATTTCTGTACTGCTCGATTTCCAACTCTCCTCCCCAGCAATTACTTTCCGGTGCCTGCAGTCGCTGTATTTATTTGTAACTGGAGATATGCTTTTGAGGTTCTACACTTTTTGTTAGCTTTAGGGTCAGCTACTAATCTAATTCCTCCGCTATCCCATAGAAGAGACAGAAATAACACCAGTTAGCTCTAGCAATTGCCAGTTCTATCAAGGTTTCACAAACTAAGGAACTTTGCTTTATGGGGAAGTTTTTTCCTTAAAGCACATGTGCATTTTTTCTCCCCCCCCCCCCCCCAGATTTGTGGGATATTCTTGCAGTGGCTGTCTGGTTTGTGTGTGTTTTTAGCACAACAGAGTGGAGAATAGAGAGATTAAAGTCATGCGCAGCTGTGAGAAAGCATTTGGGGGGAAAGTAGGACAGTGGGTTTACATTGGGTCTGTTCACCTGAACACTGGCTTACTTTGACACTTGGTTTTCTTCTGATGCCAGTGTTTGCTTTATTTCCCCCCTGTATTGCTCCTAGTTTCACTGTGGATGCTCCTGGGTGTTTAGATAGACATGTAGCTGGCTGCTTTCAAGTAGAGCTGCCACATCTTAAAGTTGCGGCAAACCACTAGCTTGTTACACACGGTTTGTCTAGGGAAGAAAGAAGATGAAAGGGGAGCAGGCGGGGAGGGAATTTTTGGGGGAAGGTGAATTAATTTCCTTGGAGTTCATTTACTCGCAGATTTTGCTGTCAGTAAATTGGCAATGAAAAACGGGATCTCCCTCAGCAAGCTACTCTGTGTGGCAACTGTTAACAATGCAGCCATTTAACTCAATAATCACTTTTCACTCCCTCTGGGGAGCTGTTAGCGCTACAATCCCACTTTATTTTTCACTCCTGGCTGCTTGATTTGTTTTCTAGCACATAAACAATTAATATTAAAAAGGTGATATTGTGAAAGTGCCTGTTTCCACAGTGGCAAGGAAAGGTCACGGTGTGTATAAAGGCATTTGTAACTCTTTGAGTGATATTCTCTTCTCGCTGCATTTCAGAGCCCTGTTTTTACCATCCACCCTTCTGAAAGTCTCTCACCACTGCTTTCCCTGTTTAATTGTCCTATTTTAGTCTGTTACGCCCTCTGTGCAGGCCCATATGCTCTGGCTTTCATTTATATTATGGGAATGATTTGGGACACTTATTGCAGAATATGATAGTATTTCTTTTTAGAAGGCACCATCATCTGTTACCATGGAAACCCAAATAGTGGCAAAGATGTAGGTCTGAGGCTTTGAACCTCAAAAGATATGGACATGGGTTGGTTCTTATAGGAACAATTACTTTTGTACATAAAATCCAGTTAAGTGGGGAGCAGAAAGGGAAATAAATCGATCTGTTGAGCACTGTGCTGACAATTCTCCTTTTGAATAACATTCAGCATAGAAGGATCAGTGTCTCTATGTGTATGGGGTTTTTTTAAAGCTCATTATTTATCATAATAGTTGTTTTACGCCTGTGGTAATTTTCATTATAATTTTATAAATGAGGTAAAAGTGTATTGGCAGGTTTTATTCTTTGCTTGAATGGAAAGTGCTGCATGCAGAATGCAGAGGTGTGCAACGTTAGCACTGGAGCTTAAATATTTTGGCACTGAGTAAATTTGTGACTGATTTAATATAGCCCTAATTAAAAAAAAAAGAAAACGGCAGAAGTCATCCAAAATCCACCTGCCAATATCTGCTTGAGGTATATATGGGTTTGCTCACTGATCTGAGCAATAAGAGTGATGATACTTATCTGGTTTGCCATAGAAATACTGAAGCCTAGTTAACATTCATAAAAACTCTTATGATGTTTGGGTGATGAGCAGCAGGAGTGTGTGTGAGTATTGCTATATAAAGCCTATGTCCTTTAGAGACTTCTTAATTTTGTATGGAAACTGCTTCAGTCTATTTCCTCAGTGTCTGGTAACGCATAGATAAAACATGTAATGAAGCTTCTAAAATGTGCTTGGAGGTATGTTCATAGATGAGGCTTTTCTGGCAGATATTCTAAACAGCAGCAGCGTCTAGAGGTCACCTGCTGTTGTAAACTGAGCCAAGCTGTAGCCCAGATTTCCTGCTGCAATGCAAGAAACCTGTGTTTCCCATTGCCCCAGTAGCACAAATCATGGCTTGTGAGTTGACATTTGTTGACTCTGTGGTGTCATTCTTGGAAAAGAATATGCTGGACTTCTTATGGTATTTCTTGAACTTTTCATGGAGTGGTATTGGCTTACTTATCTAGGTGTTCCTGCTCTGGCAGGGGGATTGGACTAGATGATCTTTTGAGGTCCCTTCCAATCTCCGGCATACTGTGATACTGTGATACTTAAGCCCAAGTCACTTTTTTTTTACTGGTACCACTCATGTTTCCTAGTTCTCTAAGGAAACATAAGGGCATGTAGGGATAGGACAAGGAGAATGGCTTTAACCTGCCAGAGGGGGAAGATTGAGATGAGCTCTTAGGCAGAAGCTCTTCCCTGTGAGGGTGCTGAGGCGCTGGCACAGGGTGCCCAGAGAAGCTGTGGCTGCCCCATCCCTGGCAGTGTTCAAGGGCAGGTTGGACACAGGGGCTTGGAGCAAGCTGCTCTAGTGGAAGGGGTCCCTGCCCGTGGCAGGGGTTGGAACTGGATGAGCTTTAAGGTCTCTTCCAACACAAACCAGGCTGGGATTTCTAGGATTC